CCCCCCGACCTTGACTCTGTTCTTGTTAATCTCCTCATCTGAGATCTTCCAGGGACAGTCCCGCCTCATCTCTGTGACAGTAGCCTCATCTTTGAAGCCATCATTCAGGCGGAAGGGCGCAATCATGTCCTCAAACCGCTTGGTGCTAGAAAAAAACAGGTGAGGCTGAGGGAGATGCTTCCCTCTCCCCAGGGAGCCAGGTCCTGGGGGGGTTGGGGGTGCATGCCACAGGGACGTGCTTTTCAGGCTGAAACCCACTGGATGCTGCCACGTACATCAAAGTGGCTTTGACCCGTGATCCACCCACCCGACCATTCAGCAGGTGTTTACTGGGCACGGTTCTGTGCTGGGCTCTGGGCCACACAACAGGGGACAAATCAGGCCAAAGCCATTCTGGGTGATAAGCCAACAGGCAAATAAACACAAAGTGGACGTTTTGTGAAGGTACAAACGGAGAGCTGGGACAGAGAATAACAAGGCTGGGGAAGGCCCATCCGGGGCTGGAATCTGCCCTGCTGAGGCCAGCTACTCACAGGGCAAGGGGGGCTGAGCACACAGACCCGAGCATGCAGAGACCCTGCGCCAGAAGCAGGTCTGGCCTGTGTGAGAGGCAGTGAAGGGGCCGGTATGGCTGGAGCAAGGTAAGCTCAGGGGAGAGAGGGAGGAGGCGAGGACAGGGCTTTGTCATCTGCCCCCAGTGAGACAGGAAGCTGCTGGGGGTTTCTGTGCGACCTGCCTTACATCATCGAAGACAGAGAGCCAGGGCTTGGCCAGCATTCAGATAACGCCATCTGAAGCCATATGGATGGGTGAGCTCACCTGGGACAGAGTAAAGGGAGAGAAGAGAAGAGGGTCCTGGGCCAAACCCCAAGGACGTGACAAGGCAAGTCAGGTAAAGGGGGAAGGGTTAGCGAGGGAAACTGAAGGAGGACCCCCAAGGTGGGAGAAAACCAGTGGAGGGGGTGTCTCAAATGCAACCAACAGGTGGGGACGGATGAGGAGAGAGGTGGGCTCTGTGGATTGGGTGACATGGAGGCCACTGACGCCCCTGGCCATGGTGGTCTAAGGCAGAGGAGTAGCAGGGTTGGGAGCCAGACTAGCATGAGCTGGGGGATGAAGAAGGGGAGGAAGGGGTGACAAGAAGCACAGGCGTTTCTAGAGTTTGGCTGTGCAAGGGAGGAGGGAACTGGTTGGGGAACTGGAGGCAGATGAAGGTTCAGTGGAGGGGATTCTAAAGATAAGAGGTGCTGGAAGGGTCTACAAGTTACTCCCACCGTCCTTCCCATCTGGAAGGTCTCCCCCATCTCTCTCTGCTCGTCACTTTGTTCCTCTACCAACCCTGGTGACCGGATTCTCTTTGGCCTCCTGGTCTGTCTCTGCACATTCTGATTGTCCTGGCTTCCTTCAGCCTCCCTTATGCTCGGAGGGCAGGGCTATTAATTTCTCATCCTGGCCTTGCGGCACCAAGCAGAGCCCCTAGGCATCAATATACCCAATAATAATGCTGTTCTTCTTCTTATTATTCTTGAGACAGAATTTCATTCTGTTGCCCAGCCTAGAGTGTCGTGGCGTCATAGCTCACAGCAACCTCAAACTCCTGGACTCAAGCGATTCTCCTGCCTCAGCCTCCTGAGTAGCTGGGACTACAGGTGTCCGCTACAACATCCGGTTAGTTTTTCTGTTTTTAGTAGAGATAGGATCTCATTCTTGCTCAGCCTGGTCTCCAACTCCTAAGCTCAGGCGATCTGCCAGGCTTGGTCTCCCAGAGTGCTGAGATTACAGGCATGAGCTGCCACGCCCAGCCTGTCCATCATTATTAAATAATCCTTGATCCTTATCTTTCTTTCCTTGTCCAGCTCACAACTGGGTGATGTAACCAAGAAGTAGGGCCAGGAGGTCAGGAAGAAACTTAATTCATTGAGGAGAGTTCTGGAAAACCTCCAGACTGGTTGACCTGATGCAAATTCTATTTGTAAATGTCGTATTTTAATGAATATGAAGCTGTATCATTTGGAAATCAAATAATCCCTTCAGACCCCACAGTTGGTCCTGGCTACAAATTCACACAGGGGTTCATTTAAAGTCTGTGCACTTGCCTTCGCATGGAGGGAAGAAGGAAGTTATTGCCCAGATCACTCAGTATTTTCTTTTCTTTTCTTTTCTTTTCTTTTTTTTTGAGACAGAGCCTCAAGCTGTCCCCCTGGGTAGAGTGCCGTGGCATTACAGCTCACAGCAACCTCCAACTCCTGGGCTCAAGCGAGTCTCCTGCCTCAGCCTCCCAAGTAGCTGGGACCACAGGTGCCCACCACAACGCCCGGCTATTTTTTGGTTGCAGCCGTCGTTGTTTGGCGGGTCCGGGCTGGGGATTCGAACCCGCCACCTTAGGTGTACGTGGCTGGCGCCTTAGCCGGTTGAGCTATAGGCGCCGAGCCACTCAATATTTTCTTTTTTTTTCCTTAAAATCTTTTTTCTTTTGATAGAGATGGGGTCTGGCCATGTTCCCCATGCTGGTCTTGAACCCTTGGCCTCAATCAATCCTCCCACCTCAGCCTTTCAAAGTGCTGAGATTATAGGTGTGAACCACCACACCTGGCTCCAATTCAACAATTTCCCCACTCCCAGCACTAACGTGTTAACACAGGTCAGGGGCAGCAGCCGCCTTGCCCAGTGGTTCCCTCATCCGCAGGGAAGGGACACGCCTTGCCACAGCCCTTGCATAAGTTGTGCCCTCTGACCCTGTGTTGTGGACACATGGCTGTGGCCAATTGGACCAAAGGTAGCCAAGAAACAGGCAGGACAATAACCTCCACTTTGGCCGGGCAGGTGGAGCCAGGCCAGGAACTTAACTGAGGCAATGCCTGGAGAGGAAGGAAGTTTGCAGTGGAGCTGGTGATTTCAGAGAAGGGCAAGATGCAGAGAGAGCTCAGAAGCCATGAGGAAGCAGAGACCACAAACCAGGTTTACTGAGCACTGACCCCGGGCTGGGCACTTGGCCTAAAGGGGCTCTCAGACAGTGGTTCTCAAAATGGGGTGCCTGGGCCCGCAGCACAGCACTGCCTGAGAGCTTGTTAGAAATTCGGATTCCCCCAACAGGCAAATAAACACAAAGTGGACGTTTTGTGAAGGTACAAACGGAGAGCTGGGACAGAGAATAACAAGGGTGGGGAAGGCCCATCCGGGGCTGGAAGGTAGCCTGCCGAGCCGAGGCCAGCTACTCACAGGGCAGGGGGGCTGAGCACACAGACCCGAGCATGCAGAGACCCTGAGCCAGAAGCAGGTCTGGCCTGTGTGAGAGGCAGTGAAGGGGCCGGTATGGCTGGAGCAAGGTAAGCTCAGGGGAGAGAGGGAGGAGGCGAGGACA